TGGAATGGAGAGAAACGAAAGGGAAAGGGAAGCGAAATAGGTGGTAGAGAAGTGAAAGATAGAAGAGAGAAGTGGATAAGTGTAGAATAAAAAGAGATGTGACAAATCATATTTATAATATGAGAGGGGGGGGGGCGGTGTGGCGAGTCGAGACGGGTGGCGCGCGGCGCGCCTCCCCGCGCGCCCTCTCGCCCGGGCGGTGGCGGGGGTCGGGGGTCGGGCGCGGTGGCGGGGAGGCCTTTTTGTACTGGAAGCCGCCCTCCTCGCGCAGCACGTTTGCGAGGAAGGTCATGAGCAGCCGGTGCTTCTGCGGGAACTTGAGGCACATCGCGCGGATCGCGTCGACGACGACGATCTTGAAGTCGTCCGCGATCTCGGACATGAAGGACGTGATTTGCTTCATCAGCCGCTCGACGCCCGACTCGGAGCCCGTCTTGAGCAGCGTGGTGATGGCGAGCGTGGCGATGGAGCGGTTCGAGTCGTTGATGAGGCCCTCCATGTCCATGTTGCAGGGGGTCACCGCCATCGGGTGCGCCATCGCGATCTTGTTGAGCGTGCGCACGGCGGAGAAGCGGCACGCCGGCTTTGGCGAGCAGAGGAAGAGCTGCAGCACGGTGATCGACGGCGACAGCTCGCGCTGCGCCACCGACGTGAGCGAGCAGATGGCGGTGGCCGCTTCGTAGATGACCATGTCGGAGCGGTGGCGGAGCGACGCCTCGAGAAAGTCGAAGAGCGCGCGGTCGCGCTCCGAGCCACCGTCCTCCATCATCGCCTTGGCGAACCGGATGAGAAGGCAGTGCGCGAGCGGCGACTTGAGCGGCGTCCGCGTCAGCGAGGCAACCACCTTGGAGACGGCGAGGCGGTCCTGCCGCTTGATCTGGTGGAGCAGCGCGAGGGCGTGGTACTGCACCGAAGGGTTGTCCGATGCCAGCGCCGTCTGTACCTCGTTGACCCACCGGCGAACCACCTCGGGGTTGACGTGCATCAGGTGGATGCCAGAGACGAGCGCAGACGCGGCGACGAAGCAATTCTTGTCGACGAGCGCCTGCTTGAGGTGGCGCTCGATCTGCGCCAGCATCGTCGGGTCGGTGCGCGCAATGATGGCGCCGAGCACACGCAGCGCGTTCGCGCGGTTCAGGTCCACCTTGGAGTTCATGTCCTTTGTGAGCGTCGCGCAGACGATGATCACCTCCTCTGGGCTCGGCTTCAGCTCTTTGAGCACGAGGTAGAGGAGCCGCCGGAGCTGCTGGTCCTTGTGCATCAGCAGCTTGGTCACGCCGAAGAAGATCTCGGTCGTCTCAAGCGCGGTCAGCTTCTCGCCTGCGCGGCGGAGAGGCGCGGGGCTGGCGGTCGGCAGCGCGCGCCCGGCGCCCGCTCGCTGGGCGTTGGGCGCGCGCGGTTGGCGGAGCGCGCACCCTGCGCCAGGAGCCAGAGGATCTTGGTCAGGATGCTGATGCATTTCCGCGGGTTGATCTCGCGGTCGTTGAAGCACCTGCACTCCTGCAGCACGGCCGCCTTCTGCAGCGACTGAAACGGCGAGTACGATTCGTCCTCGTCCTTCTTCTCGCCCTTGGTCATCTGCATGACCGCCTCCTTGGCGCCCTGCAGCCACTGCGCGCCCTGCGCCGTCAGGTCCGAGCTGCCGCCCGTCGCCATCGCCATTGCGGCGGAGAGCCCAAGCCCCGACACTTGTCACCCCAGCGCCGCCCAAAAAAATACTCTCATAATGTAGGTAAACGAAAAAAGTAGCGCACAATTCGTCTACGTACGGCTTAGTGAGTGGTTGGGGTGGCCTCAGGCATCCCCAAGGGAGCCTCTGCGGTGCCACATAAGCAGCTTAGTGATTGTCGAGACTTTAAAGGATTCGTTTGAAGATCTCGCAAACAAGACAGACACTACTATGGTCACCAGTAAAACAAACAAGTACTCGCTTTCTTTTATGTCCCACCATGCAGAGCGCATCTCTCTCTCTGTTGTGCGAGGCGTGAACCGCGCCATTCGCTCTCACCTGGCAACCCTGTCTGCACGTCTCGCGCGCGCGTGAACAGGGCTCCAGGCCCCAAATGACGTGTGAGTGTTAGAGTTGTTTGGTATTGCTAAAAATCTCTCTCTCTCTCCAGTAAACGAAAATTCGACTTTGAGGGATAATATCTCAAAAGACTGGGTGAGAGCATAGCATTATTATTGCATATTAGGCCGCATAAGGTCAGACTTGACCCCACAAGCATCAAGAACCCGATGCTCCGGCTCGACTGTGCCGGCACACTGCCTCCTCGCGCACGCGGCTAGCAGGCCGTTGCGGCCCGTGGTGCACCAGAGAGAGAGGTCGACGCGTTGCCCCCGCTGGCGACCCCGCGCGGCTCAGGCCGGCCAGAAGGTGTGTGGTGACGGCACCGTGGCAGGAGTGCAGAGATGAGCTCGCCGAACGCGAGCAGCAGATGGCCAAAGTGTGCCAGCGCGAGAGCCTCGCGAGCGGGCGCAGAAGGAGCTCGCCGTGACACGATGCCGGGCGGTGGTGGTGCTCTGGCGACTGTGCACAGTGGGCAAAGTCAGGCTGCAACAGGGCAGCACGATGGTAGTGCCCTGCTGCAGCCTGGCCTGACATGCACAGGGCGAACAGAGGCACTACTATCGTCTGGCGCTCGTCACCGAATCTGGGCGAACTTCGACCGCCGCCACAGCTGGCCACGAGCACGCAGCGACAAAATGCTGACTGTACGGAAGTTGAGGCTGGTCGAGAGGAAGAGGCTGCCGTGCGAGTCGGCAGCTGGTCGGCTCGGGCGGACTGACCGCGGCGTCTTTTTTCGGCTTCTTCATTCATAGTAGCGTATACGCTACTTTCGTTTACCCACATTGTGCGAGTAGAGCAATGTGCGGCCTGCACCGCAGGACAGCGGCGGGCTCTCTTGCGGAGAATTTATTTCTCGGCTGCGTTGGCTCGCCAAAGTCTTTGTTCTCGATGGCGCTGTCCGCTGACTGGGGCGGGCGTTGTGCGCGTTTTGTGGAGAAGCAAAAACGCACGTCGTCCGGGTTCTGTTGTGTGTCGAGCGTGCGGGCGGAGGCGAGGCTGAGCCTGTGGCGAGAGCTAGGTAGATAGAGGTTTAGAGCAGTGCGAGAGTTACACACGACCCACACTTGTAAAAAGAATCCACGCGCCGCACAGCTCAGGCTGCAGGTCATGCGACAGGCTGAAGATCCATATACATTGTGAGTTTCGGGTGTGCAGCGGATGCGGGTCGCACACGATGGCGCACGCCACCTTTCACAATCACATCGTTCGCCCACAAGAAGAGAGTCTCCCCCCACCCCCACCCCCGCACCCACCCACCCTACCCCTCACACTTTGTGCGTCACAGGTCCTCCAAGAATGGCCCCAGCACCTCGTCCCACGAGTCGTGCACCATAAAGTCGCCGAGGGAGCCGTATACACAAGTTCTTCTGAGCAGCGCCCGAATCCAGCCCCCTCAAAAAGAATCCACGCGGCGTGACGTGGCAGCAGTCGCGGCACATGGAGGCAGGTCGCTAGACTGAGATGAGACCGCCAGTGGAGTTGGGAGTCCACCGTGCACCGCGCTGCGAGCCTGTCGTGTCCCTTGTCAGGGGCAGGAGAGCCCCACCTGTGCCCCTGATCGTCCTTTCAAAATCCTGCTCGTGCAGGTGGGGACCCTGTCCTCCTCCCCCATCCCTCGTTTGGGCTGTCTTGGAGCACTTGGGGACCCTGTCATCAGCCTCACATCCAGGGCCCTAGCCAGGGCCGGGGGGCTAAGATGTAAGAAGCACACCCAGCGGGCCAGATGATCGGGATCGGGTTGCGGGCAAGAGAGCCCTAGCCCTGGGGGGTGCGCGTTCGCAGGGAAGGGCCGTAAAGTAAACACGGGTCTCCGAGAGGGCTCCGTGTACCGGGTTTCCCCTTAACTGCAGAACGCCCCCTCTACTCGGAGCCACGCAGCGAGCGCGGACGGTCGCAGCATCCGGACCGCTGATGTCGAGCTCAAGCGTGAAGAAGATGTTGCAACTCATCGTGCGTTTCTACCGCGCTCGAGAGGCGGTGAAGAAAGAAAGAAAAGACAGCAGGGGAGGGATGGGAGGACGGCACGCGACGGCGGGTCTCTACACGAGAGACGCGGAGAGCAATTTTTTGGGAGCGCCTTGGTTGTTAATACCGTCCGCGCGGTCCATCGCCGCATCCCCATCCCCGTCTGCGGCAGCGCCGCCTGCGCCCGCGCCGGCCAGCTCTGGGACGGCGCGCCACCGCTCGTCGTCCAGCATGTGCCACCACCGCCGATCCGACCGAGAAGCCGTCGTACTCGTAACTAACTCGCCGGCATGAAACCCATGTTCTCGGGTACCGGCGGCATTAAGTGCAATGATGATTGGAAGGAGCTTCGCATCCAATTCTGCCCTGGAAGCAATAGGAAGTAATTTATTGCAATACCGTGTGTCAATCGGCGGGCCATCTAGGCCCGGCTCCGAAACTCGCACTCACCCTGTAGCACGCTCTCGGGCACCGCCTCCGGCCCCCGCTTGCCATCGTGTCGGCTGGCGCGCGGGGGGGCCCTGCTGGCCATGGGCATCCATGGCGGTCGCGGCGCCTGCGGGAGCGGCGCTATCCCGGCTCGTGCGCCGTTAATTTCGGGGTTTTCGCTCTTTTTGACGCTTTTCCTCGAAAATGCGCGTGCGGGGGCTCGGCGGCGGCGACTCGCTCCTCACGCGCTCACGCGGTCGGGGGCCTCGCGGTCGGACGCGTCGGTCTCTCACATACTCTCACAAAGTCTCAATATGCATCTCTCGTGGCAGTCCGGCGGCCGGTGAGGTGCTGCACACAGCTCAGGTCATGCGACAGGCTGAATATCTACTATACATTGTGAGTTTCGGGTGTGTGCAGCGGATGCGCGTCGCACACGATGGCGCACGCCACCTTTCACAATCACATCGTTCATGCTCCGACCCCCCCCCCCTACCCCACACTTTGTGCGTCACAGGTCCTCCAAGAATGGCCCCAGCACCTCGTCCCACGAGTCGTGCACCATAAAGTCGCCGAGGTAGCCGTACAAATTCACCTGCTCCTTGCGGTACGCCTCGATGAAGAAGCCGGTGTCGCACGAAAAGTTCTCAAGCGTGACGGCCAGGTAGGGGAAGTTATCGCCGGCTTTGCTCAGGACATCGGGCGGCACGCGGTCCGCCCACGACCCGGGGACGTACTCTGCATCCTGCACCCATTCGCCCAGGGAGCCGTCCGCCTTCACCTCGTACGCGCCGTGCTCGCCCGGCAGGTTGTACATAAAGACGGTCAGGTCGATCTTGTGGGGCGTGCCGTCGGGGTTGACTGCCGAGGTGCCGTGGAACGGGTTGCTGACCACCTGGATGTCGGAGACCGTGGCAACGAGCGGCCGCCCCGCGTCGTACAGCTCCTTGAACTGGCCGAGCAGCTCCGGAAACCAGGCGGAGTCGAGCACTTGCGCCGTGGTGTACAGGGTCAGCCCGCCCGGGACAGACCTGCCACCCTGCCGGTCCGCCGCCTTCTCCGGGTAGATTCCAAAGAGCGCGGACAGAGACTCGTTCAGCACGGGCATCCCGTCCGGGTCTAGACAGTCGACCCAGTCGCCGAGCGCATCCATGACGGCCTTCCGCGTCGCCTTCACGGCGTCGACGGACATGGGGTCGCCCCCAATCGGGACTTTGGCACGCGCGTCGTCGAGCATGGTCTTTGGCGGCGGCTTGAAGGGAAATTGAGGAGTGCACATCAGCAGAATCTTCTTGGCGGAGCCCGCCGCGATGGCGGCGGTGACGCCCTGCGTGTCCATTACGCCGCCGTCGACAAAGTCCAGCATCGCCTGGCTGCGCACGCCCTCGGCCAGGAGGGCGTCCTCGGGCGCAGTCTTCATGTCGAGCCTGCCGGTGATGAGGTTGAGGAGCGGATTGAGAACGCATCGCATGCAGGCATTCGAATCGTTGATGCCCATGACCAGAAACTGGGTGGCGTTCGACGCCACCGTCTCGAGCGTCAGCCTCTCTGAGCTGGGCTCGAGCGGGCAGCAGCCCCTCTGGCACGGCGGGCAGCACCCGGGAGGGTCGACGAGCGCTTCGTGAGGAGGGTGGTGCACCTTGTTGAACCGAATCGGCGCGGGGGGCTTGCATCCGGTGTTGGCCTGGCACTTCAAGAAGCGCATCTCGGGCGGCCCCTGCGGCGCCATCCGACCGTCGACGTACACAGCCTCGTACCGCGTGCCGGCGGCGGTCGGCGTGGCAAAGAAGGGAACTGTGGTCACCCCATTGTACTCCTCCCGGGCGGTAATGGCGTCGGCGAGCCCGCCCTTGGCCGCCTTCACCTGCTGCTCGCTCAGCGCACCGAGCCCATTGGCGTTGCTGAGCCCCGTCGGCATGATGCTCGCGTACAGAGCCATCGGCTCGGGCTTCCGGTGCTCTCCAGAGGGGTTGTCTTGCGTCTTGCCGCAGCGGCGCGGCCACAGAAAATCGGACTTTTTGAGGTCGGGCCGCCCGGACACGATGCGTTCGGCCTCGGCCTCGCTCGAGGCGAGGAAGCGGCCTTTGGGGATGCCGTAAGTCTTGAGGTACGTGCGGTACACCGATTCTTGCCAGAAGGCGTGGCAGCCCGGCACGGGAAGGCCAACCGCCTTGAGGCACTCTGCACAGCTGTAGAAGGGGAGCTCGCAGATCTCGCGCAGGCCGAAGGGTAGCGTGGTGGCAAAACCCATCGACTCCTTCTCAAGCACATCGAGGTCTGCGATGGCCTCCGGCTTCCAATCGCGGCTGACGTCCAGCAGCAAGTCCTCGGCGTCGCCGTCAGCGGTCAAGTCGGCGAGACCAAAGGTGTAGGCGGACAACGCCCAGAAGCCACCGGAGACTACGGGGGCGGGAGGAATGGATGATGAGTCGCTGATTGTTGTTGGTCTAAGCGTGATGTACGTGGTTGTGAAAACTGCAGTGGATCGGGCCAACGTGAGTGTTGCCACGTACTTCCAACGATGCCGTCAAAGTGGTTGAGCTTTCCCTTCTTGTGCAGGCCCCGCATGATCCCATACGTAGATACCACGGCTCGATTGCCTGCACCCATCAAGCACATCGCACTCTCCCACTCAAAAGGCGGCGGACCATACGGATCAGCAGGAGTGCTGGGAGGCAGGTCGCGGCCTCGGATGCCAGGCAGGTCGAAGCCTCGGGTGCCAGCGAGCTTGAGCTTCTCCTGCCTTCGCAGTGACTCCACAAACTTGGGGTTCGGCCTGCTGCAGTCGGGCGGTGCAGTCATGCCGTGCCGCTAGTGCCTATCTTGTATCGACGTACAACTATTGACGCGATTACGTCACGGCATTTTGAGAAAAATCAAGCTCTGACCGTCTGCAGTGCACGCGTCGCACCCGCCCATTTCAAAGGACTCGACGACTTCTCTCAGCCTGCCGAGCCCCTGCGCCGCGAGCTCCGCGAGGTTGGTTCTGCGCGTTCCGCCCGCCACACACGGGAGGGGCGGCGGCCGAACATTAATTTCACACCACTGCAACCGGTCAGCGGTGGACCATGCCCCCATCCGAGCTGGCCATCTGCACGCGCAATGGCCAAAAAGTATCACGGCTTGAAGTGTATAACCTCCCCCATTGGTCTTTTGTTTCGCGCGTCTCCTCGAGGGTCCGAACGAGGCGAGCTCGAATCTGAGCCCTGGCCTCGACACCTCGACACCAAACCTCGACACCAACTCGACACCTCGACACCCCGTGCCAACTCGACACCCCTCGACACCCCTCGACACCCCTCGACACCATCTAGGCTGGTACCACGCTCGCCGGTGTCAAGGTGCCAAACTCGACACCTCGACACCCCTCGACACCGCTCGACACCGCTCGACACCGCTCGACACCGCTCGACACCGCTCGACACCTCTGATGATCCTAACACAGCAGAGACGTACCAGGTAGACCCATTGGAGTCACAGAGTTAGAAAATCAGGGTTGCAGCAGCAATCAAACTTCGCTGGCAGTACTTTCATCCCTCAGTTGCAGCCTCTCAAGTTCTAGCTCAGTTGCAGCTCAGTTGCGCCCCTGTTGATGTAGCAAACATGGCAGTACTCAGGTAGCCCTCAGGTGCTGCACAGCACCTTGTACAGTGGCAATGAATCCTCACACCAGTGAGCTTGTGCCATGAGTGCAGACCTGTGGTCCATTGCGCTTTGTGCACTGGCGACGCTGCAACGGCGACGCTGCAGCGGCGGCGACGCTGCTGCGATGGGGTACTGTAGCCCTTAGCTGCTGGACAGCACCTTGTGCAGTGGCAATGTCCACTGACTCATGGCACCAGCCTTGTGCCATGAGCGCTGTGGTCAGTTGCGCTTTGTGCGCCGGTGACGCTGCAGGGGTGACAACGCTGCAGCGGCGAGACGCCTCTTGACAACACTCGACACCCGCTCGACACCCTCGACACCCTCGACACCCTCGACACCCCTCGACACCCCTCGACACCCCTCGACACCCCTCGACACTGGCAAGCGTGGTACCAGCCTCGTCAGGCCTCGACAGGCCTCGTCAGGCCTCGACAGGCCTCGACAGGCCTCGACACCTCTACCCCTCGACAGCAGCTCGAACCCTCGACACCGGGCCTCGACACCTCGACACCAGGGCTCAGGCTCGAATTTGGAGATATATGTATATACATCACACATGCAGGGTATGGTTTAAATAATACCTGGCTAGACGCTTGAAGTCCTGGCCAGCTCGGCCGCTTTCGCCTCCGCGCGCAAGCGCCGCAGTTCGCTGACGAGCGCTCGACGCTCGTCCTCCGCTCCGCCGAAGGCATGCACAGCACCGACATGCGTCGCGCTTCCGGGCTCCTCGCTCTGCTCCGTCGAGTTCTCCGGGGAGGAGAGCACGTCCATGTCCTTCTCCACGACAACCACGCGATGGATGGGGCTGTTCCCCTCGCAAATGTCCGGCTCAAAACTCGCCACGTCCGCGGCGTCGGAGTCCGTCCGAGGGTGCGGGCACGGCTCGGCGTCGGCGAGAGCACTGTCGTTGGCGAGAGCAGCGTCGAAGTGGAGTCGCCGCGCGACCGTCGAGGGAGAGTCGGCTCGGAAGTGCGGGTTGGCCTTTGCAGGAGCCTCGACAGGGGCGAACTTGCCCGCGGAGCCCGCGACCGCATCGCGGCGCGCCTCCGCGGATGATCGCGCGGCCCATGGGGCTAGAGGCGACGCTGAAGGCGGCGCAGCTGTCGGCGGCGCGTCTGCAGGGTCGCCCGCGCCGGGCCCGGCGGCGTGCGCCGTCGTCAGAGCGCGGCGCCTCGGCTGCACGGCAGTGGAGAGGGCGAAGTGGCGGAGCCGCTGCGCCCTCGGCGAGACGAGCCGCGAGGACTCGCTCTCGAGCAAGAGCGGCGCCGCCGCGCCAGCCGCGGCGGCCGGCCGAGCGCCGTCCCACGCCGCCTGGCTGGCCGCAAGAGGCGCGCAGCACGGAGCAGATGCGGACGAGACGAGGGTCGAGGAGGAGGATAAGCTTCGGGGCGGAGCGCTGACCTCCCACCCGTGGGCAGCGGCGGCGGCGGCGGCGGCGCGTCGCGCCTCTGCCCGCGCGTGCAGGACGGCGGTCCGGACGAGCGACGGGCTGTGCCCGATCGCGAAGACCTCGTCGAGGAGGTGCGGCGCGTCGAACTCGAGCGTAAACTCGGCCACCTCTCGCAATCGAGTGAGGCTTGCGGGCAGGTCGAGCAGCGCCCAGCGGCCGCGCGGCGACGGCTCGGAGCGAGGCAAGCTGAACGGGGTGGGCACGCGCAGCGGGCGGAGAGTGGCCTCGTTCCGGAAGCGGACGCGCAGCCCTCGCACCGCGACTTGGCTGTGCGCACGGTACAGCAAGCAGATTGCATGCCTGCTCTGGATGCAGGCGGCGCGGTGCCGGTTGAGCCACGAGCCGCCCCAGTGCAGCCACGGCACCGCAGCGAGCGACTCGGCCGAAGCGCGCACCTCGCTGGGCAGCGCCAAGTCTGAGCGCCGCCACGCGTAGAGCACGCCGAAAGCGGCGCTGCCGTGCGGCTTGTCGGACGGCGGCAAATTCAAGGCCGTCAGCGGAAGCTGCGGCAAGCTCTGCGCCGTATCGGCGTGGCGAGGGGCCCGAGTGGGCGTGGGCGGTGCCGACGACGGCACAGCGGTCGAGCGGGGCGTGTGGCGGCGGTGAGGGTCCGTCCGGTGAGAGGAGCGGCGCAGCGCCCGCAGCTGCTTCCGCTGCGCCGACCCGCGCGGCAGGTCGGGCGACTCGCGCGGCCTCGGCGAGTGCGAGATTGCGATGACCACGGGGGTGGAGCTACCGAGGAGGGAGGCCGAGTCGGAGGTGTCGCCGGCCGACTGGGCGGGCTCCGCTCGCGCCGGCGGCAAGGAGAAGGTGAATGCCGGCGCCGGGGGCGGCTCGGGGGCCTCGGCAGCCCCGGCTGCCGATCCGCTGCTCGCGCAACCGCTGCTCGCGCCGACAATCTCGCGTCGTGAGTCGGCGGGAGCAGATGCCGGGACGCACTGCTCCCCAAGCTCCTTCCCGCCCGCCGGGTCCTCGGGCGAGCTTGCGAGCAGCCTCGGCTGCGGCGCGGAGTACGAGTGCTCGAGCTGAGCCGCCGGGGCAGCAGCCTCCGAGGCGGCAGCACCCTCGGAAGGAGCCTCGGAAGGAGGCGAAGCCTCCTCAGCCTCCGACGGGTCGTGCTCGCGCGGCGGAGGAAGCGGCGCGGCGGCGCGTGCGTACGCCGAGATGACGCTTGCCGCAGCCTCGCCGACGAGGGCAGCGAGGGGAGAGCGAGGCGGCCCGGGCGATAGCGACGGCGCTGCGCGCTGCGGCGGCGAGGGCGGCCGCTTCTCCGCCGGAGTCGCTGCAGGAGGGGCGGTTGCCTCGGACGCTGCGAGCTCCGCGACTGCCGGTGGGACTGCGGCGGGCGGAGGAGCGGAGGAGGAGCGCGGACGGCAGAGGGGCTGCTCAGTCGCCGCCTCCTCATCTGAGACCAAAGCAGCAGCTGGCGCGGTCAGAGCAGCAGCTGGCGCGGTCAGAGCAGCAAGTGACGCGGTGCCCTCCGTGCGCGAGACTGGGGCGGAGACCTCCGCGGCGGCAGACGGCGCGGCGGCAGCCTGGTTGCCCTGCGCCTGCTCCGCCTGCGCCTGCTCCTCTGTCGCCTCGGCCAGCGGCGCCGGCCGACCCCCGAGCGCTTCCCGCAGCGCCTCTCTCTCTTCCGAAAGCGCCTTGACCGCCTGCTGCTCCCGCTCGAGCCTCCTCCTGCACGACGCGAGCTCGCGCGCGAGACTCGCGCTCTTGCTGCGCGCCGCAGCGCACTGCCGCCGCAGCGCGTCTCCCTCGGCCCTCTCCCGCTCGAGCGCCAGCAGGACGGCCTCGAGCGACCGGTGCCCGCGCGGCACCGCCCAGTGCGCTCGCGTCGTGCCCGCAGACAGCCGCGAGCCGCCCTCCTCGCCCTCCTCGCCGACGGAGAAGGCGGACGCGCACGGCGCAGCGGGCTCTGCAGCCATCGGGCGAGTGGCGGCCCCTGCTGCCGCCGCCTCTGCCGCCTCTGCCGCCTCTGCCGCCGCATCCGTTGCATCTGTTGCATCCGTTGCATCCGCCTCGTGGGCGAGTTTAGATGCCGCCGCCGGGACGCCCTGCCACGCCTCCCGTCCTGAGCTGCTGGGGCACGCGGAAGGCGTCCACGGGATCGTCCACTGGATCGCCCTGGGGAGCGAGGTGGCTGAAAGGCTGGGGAGCGAGGAGGCTGGCAGCAGAGAGGAGGCTGGCAGCAGAGGGGGCGCGCGCTCCGTCGGAAGATCGGCAGCCTCTTCCGGGAGGGCTGGGGGCGGCGGCGGCGGCGGAGGAGGGGGGGGAGGCAGAGAGGGCGGCGGCGGCGGCGATGACGGGGGCGGGGGCGACGGCGGCGGGAGAGAAGACTGCGGCGGCAGCGGCGGCAGCGATGGCGGCGGTTTCGGCGGCGGCGGCGGTTGCGGTGGGAGCTGTGGCCGAACGACGCCCTCGGGGCTGAGCAGCGCATTGATCGCGGGCAGGCGCTGTCGCACGGGCGAGTAGGCCAGGATCTGCTGCGCCGTCGGCCGGAGAGACGCGTCCTTCTCGAGCAGCTTGACGGCGAGGAAGGCGAGCTCCGGCGAGTAGCGCGCAGGCAGCGGCGGCACAGGCGAGTGCAGGATCCTGCGCGCGAGCGCGAGCTGGTTGGAGGCGAGGAAGGGCGGGCGGCCCGTCGCCAGCTCGTACAGGAAGCAGCCCAGCGCCCAGACGTCCGACTTTGGACCGTAGGGCCGCTCCTCGCACATCTCTGGCGAAAAGTAGAGCGGCGTGCCGACGCTGCTGGTCGCCTGGTGCGACTGCTCCGACATGATCCGGCCGAGCCCGAGGTCGCCGATCTTGACGACGCCGCGCTCGTCCGTGAAGATGTTGTCCGGCTTGATGTCGCGGTGCAGCACCCGCGCCCCGTGCATCGCACTCAGCCCAGAGGCGACCTGGATGACGGCTCTCCAGATGAACTCCTCGTCGGTCGGCGGGCAGCCGGCGGCGGCGCGGGCCTTGAGCCACATGCCAAAGTCCCTCCCGGCGTCCTCCATCACCAGGTGAAGCACATTGTCGTGGATGAAGGAATCGACAAAGCCC